ATAATATATATATATATATATATATATATATATATATATATATATATATATATATATATATATATATGCTTGTATGTGCATGTTATATGGTCTATATTTTTAATTTAATCATTTTACAGAAATTGCTTACTGTTCTTGTAACAGAAGTTTCAATCTGATACATAAAACATCAAAGGAACGTGCCTAAAAACATGACAGAAGCACTAATACATTAACTTACATTTACTAACAACAAGGGTTACACTTTATTTTAAGGTGTCCTTGTTACAGTGTAATTATACCTTTAGGTACAGAGTAGTATTAATTAACTATATGTACTTACTATATGGTTAAGGTTTGGCTTAGTGTTACTTGCATGTAATTATGCATAATTTATTGTTAATATAATAGTAAGTACATGTAACGTGTAACAATTTGTCCTTACTAGAACAAGCAATACTTTTGTTACAGTATTTATTAATCATTGTTAACATTAGTTAATAAGTACAACTTTTAATTGTTAGTTCATGTTAGCTAAAATCCATTAAATCATATTAACAGATACAACTTTTGATTTGAATATTTATATATGTTGAAATTTAAGATTAATAAATGCTTTTGAACTATTTTTAATTATCTTAACTAATGCAATTAACAAATATGAACAAATGGAACCTTATTATGAGTCTTACCAAATAATTTTTACTAAAATTACTGCCCCAAAAAGTGCATTACAGTCATCAAAATCTATAACCCTCACTCCATAAGCGCAATAGGGGGTTGGTCATGCGATGGATTGCCGCCAAAACACAATAAAATATGCAAGAGCTCCACCTAACTACAACAAAGAAAAAAAATCGTTTTCTCCTCAGAACAAGGAATTAAATTGAATGTTAAGGTAATAAAGTGCATTAACATGCAGCTATGAGTTTATTTGGGATTAAGTATGGTTTTCATAACCCCCCCCTTATCGAGGCATCAGCTGTAAACATAAATGTCTTTTTTTGTTTTCACAGGGATGCTGTTATTAAGTGCTTCACCTCCTGTTTGAGCTAAACTATCCAGTATTTCATCTGACGACCAGACCTCCATAGTAGATGTTTTTTTTTAAAAGATTGTTTTCCTCTTTCATCTCCAAACCACACTGTCCTCCGTGACCTTAAAACATTTCCTCTTTTGTCTTAATATAATCATTTAAAATTAACATTGTGTAATATTAAAGGTGCAGTAGGAGATCTTGGAAAATGCTAACTTTAGACTGAAAGCGAACGTCCCACCCTCCCTGCAATCGCCGTCCTAAGCCACGCCCCCTCAACGCATATAGGCTCACAGACCAGAATACCAGAGACAACATTACTACGATAGGCTACATCAGCTGTTCCCAATTCCAGTCCTCGCATTTATTTACAGAGGTATATTATGTCACACTTCTCTAGTAAGTTTCGTCTATGTAAGCGCTCTGAGCAACCATGAACTGCATTCTCTATGAAGATGGGGAAGCACGAGCAACCGAAGGATAAACAGATTTCCAGCCACTGTATTAGCGCTACTGCTCTATATATGTTTATGGAGATAAAAGGAGATGGAGATAAAAAAAACTGCCCCGGAACAGCTATCAGCATGGACTGTGGGCATCGATCATGTTATTATTGCAGAACACATATTGAGTCCGTGAGTAGCCTACACTCTTGCTTCAAAAGGTTCTTCACAGCGATGCCATAGAAGAACCATTTTTGGTTCCACAAGGAACCATTCAGTCAAAGGTTCTTTAAAGAACCATCTCTTTCTTACCTTTTTATAATCTGAAGAACCTTCTTTCGCCACAAAGAACCTTTTGTCAAACAGAAAGGTTCTTCAGATGTTAAAGGTTCTTTATGGAACCATTTAGACAAAAAGGTTCTTCTATGGCATCGTGAAGCACCTTTATTTTTAAGAGTGTAACCTCTCCGCTCGGATCGCAGGTGAATTTTCCTCACTATATGAGTGAGAGAGAGCGGCGCGTCCAGTTTTATGTCAATAAAACTGGATGCTCTCCCTCTCTCTCAGATATTACAAGTGCGCGTTAGGGCACCGACCAGCAGAAACATCTGCACCTATGGCATGGACGACGAAACAAAACCTCGTCAGAGCCATAATGCGTCGCAGAAGTGTGCAGTGTGTTTGCTTGCTGCGCGTCTACATTTGAAATAACGAACCTGAGCGCACAAAAGACGCAATGAGAATGGCTTGCCCCCCAGAAAGCACTCCAGGTAAATTTTGAAATATACCAGGTTTATATATAGGCTATATATAAAGTTGATAAGCAGTTAAATATGTTGGTTTACACACAAAGAAAAGTGTAAGCTTTTAGTAAGTCCAAGAATAAAATTATTAATTTCCTTAGCATGTTAAATTTGATTTACAGAACTTTTGTGCTGCTTTCTAACAGTTTGGACTTGAATAAAGAGAGAAAACTTGCACTTAACCTTTTCACAGGCATTTTGTTTTCATAGTTAGACAGATATCGTGATGTATCATTATAGAATTGTCTAGCAATATATCGATCATCGCTGTATCGCGATATCGTATCGTGAGCCATGTATCGTGATTCGTATCGTGAGGTACCCTGCGATTCCCACCCCTAACAGTTAGTAAAAGTACTACAATACCAGGAAGGAAGATCGGGTTGTTGATGTTTGTCTGCCATTCTCGCTCTGTCTACACAGCGTGCGTGAACGCGCTGATGACGTATCCTGTCTGCGCAAACCAGGTGCGCAGAGGTATGCTAATACATACCTTGACAGGCAGGTGGGAAAGCCAATTAAAATGCTCGCACCGAGCGTTTTGATTGGACGAACATTTCTTGGTCCTACGCCTTCCACAGAATATATAAATACATTTAGACCACTTAACTTTAATGATTGCTATCGGGATGGGAAGAGACTTTCAACCAGCATAACAAAAAAAATAAAATTCTGAAGACAATCACCTATTGCACCTTTAAGGGTGAATATGTAATATTTGCATTTATTACGAGCCTTACTTTTTTGTTATTTTTATTTTGTGTGTGGTGAATAAATGCTTAATAGATGATATACTGCCAGTGAAAAAAAAGTGCCTTGTTATTACATGTAATGTTTATGAATGAACTCGATTACTACTCTTCACTTTTGTACAGAGAAAAAAAAATGCATTTCTACCAAATATATTAACAAACAATGAGAGAAAAGCCTTTTCGTATGATCCCACACAACAAATGAATAAATGCAATACTCAAAATGTGTTCTTTCATTGCTTTGTGATGTTATTTGAGTGCTTAACCGAGAGTTAACGTGTCAAATGTTATAATCTTCTGACTGATGTGTTCAGAATAATAATGTTGGTTGTTGGAGCCCAGGGCAACTCAGACAGCTGTCTCATCACACACTGAGTCTCTGGAGATCAGCTGATGGTATTCCATCCGTATAACCTGCGCTTTCTTTTTGTGCTTCATTTACAGTATGTTTCTGTTTAATAAACCTAGACCATTGTACAGGTTTGTTCCTTACCTCCGAGCCTCACGTGTTCTTAACATGACCTGATAACCTAGAGCGGCTGGTCTGTTTTTAGACTGCCTAAGCAAGGAGACTGTGGTTCCACAGATGCGGTTTCCATGACAACCGTGGGAGTGCTCTGTTTGCTTGAGCATCCCTCCTCCACAGCACACTTCTATGCACAATGCTGATCACGTGTCAGTAATTACCGTGGTGAGATCGTGGGTATAACTGTCGATAGACCCGTCAGCCTATGGCTGAGAAGATGCTTTAGATTTCACACTCCAAAAAGCACAAAGTGAGAATATGTAGGCCATTTCACATCAGGTTGCAAACCATCAGTTTTCATCTTGGTTCATTTTGATTAAGATGAAAGTGTTTTGACTGTAATCTCTGATTTCATTCTGACGGCAATCGTTGGACGTTGTTTGTGAGAATGAAGCTCTCTCTCTTTTTGTGCTGCTTGATAGTAAGGATAAGCCTATTGATTTTTCCCCTCATTTGGCTGGGGCTGGAGCACTTCACAGTGGCAGGGTGACAGAACAGCTGTCATTGTGAAATTACAAATTGCTGGAAAGGGGGGGCGACGGATCAATAACGATGGAGGTTGCTTGTCTTTAGCCTCCTCTGTGCTATGCCAAGGTCACCAAGGAGAAAATTCACAGCGATGCCATAGAAGAACCATTTTTGGTTCCACAAGGAACCATTCAGTCAAAGGTTCTTTAAAGAACCATCTCTTTCTTACCTTTTTATAATCTGAAGAACCTTCTTTCGCCACAAAGAACCTTTTGTCAAACAGAAAGGTTCTTCAGATGTTAAAGGTTCTTTATGGAACCATTTAGACAAAAAGGTTCTTCTATGGCATCGTGAAGCACCTTTATTTTTAAGAGTGTAACCTCTCCGCTCGGATCGCAGGTGAATTTTCCTCACTATATGAGTGAGAGAGAGCGGCGCGTCCAGTTTTATGTCAATAAAACTGGATGCTCTCCCTCTCTCTCAGATATTACAAGTGCGCGTTAGGGCACCGACCAGCAGAAACATCTGCACCTATGGCATGGACGACGAAACAAAACCTCGTCAGAGCCATAATGCGTCGCAGAAGTGTGCAGTGTGTTTGCTTGCTGCGCGTCTACATTTGAAATAACGAACCTGAGCGCACAAAAGACGCAATGAGAATGGCTTCCCCCCCCCCCCCCCCCCCCTCAAAACTACACTTATTATTGTCAAACCAATTAACACAGCACCTCAATTCAAATTGTGGTATAGTGTTATTTTAGTATAATTTTATATTATTATAGTATTTATTAATATTTTAAAATAGTTTAAAATCATAAAATATTTAAATCAGTTTCAGTTTTAATGTTATTTTTAGTTTAATTTATTGTGCTTTTGTATATTTTAGTAATTTTAGTTTTTAATATTTCTATTTAGCTTAATTTATTTTTATTTTAGTTCTAGTAATTGTACAGCTTCAACATATTTTATTTAACATTTCAATTATCTTTCAAGTCCAAGTTCTTAATCTTATTTTATTCCAGCGTTATAAAATGTTAGTTTTAACTGAATAAACCAAAATTCATTCTCAATTCAGGCCTGTTTAAAATACAATTGGCATTGACATGTCGCTATCAAATGTTTGGTCTTTTGTTATCTACACCTATTTGGATATTAAGAGCTTCTCTCTTCATCTCTTAATACTAAAGCAGATGAACTCTGATAAAGAGGCACTTAGCCTCTGTGTGTATGTGCAGTAAGACCTTCACTTACTAAGTTTCTGGGACCTTTCCGGTGATAAAACGGAGGCCATTATGATGCAACTGCTTTTTTAAATGACTTTATTCTGAAGAGCACTTTTGACTTCAGAGTGTCTTATTTACCTCTTGCCACAGAAAGCTAAAGGGCAAGTGGGAGATTATTATATAGGCTATATATAAAGTTGATAAGCAGTTAAATATGTTGGTTTACACACAAAGAAAAGTGTAAGCTTTTAGTAAGTCCAAGAATAAAATTATTAATTTCCTTAGCATGTTAAATTTGATTTACAGAACTTTTGTGCTGCTTTCTAACAGTTTGGACTTGAATAAAGAGAGAAAACTTGCACTTAACCTTTTCACAGGCATTTTGTTTTCATAGTTAGACAGATATCGTGATGTATCATTATAGAATTGTCTAGCAATATATCGATCATCGCTGTATCGCGATATCGTATCGTGAGCCATGTATCGTGATTCGTATCGTGAGGTACCCTGCGATTCCCACCCCTAACAGTTAGTAAAAGTACTACAATACCAGGAAGGAAGATCGGGTTGTTGATGTTTGTCTGCCATTCTCGCTCTGTCTACACAGCGTGCGTGAACGCGCTGATGACGTATCCTGTCTGCGCAAACCAGGTGCGCAGAGGTATGCTAATACATACCTTGACAGGCAGGTGGGAAAGCCAATTAAAATGCTCGCACCGAGCGTTTTGATTGGACGAACATTTCTTGGTCCTACGCCTTCCACAGAATATATAAATACATTTAGACCACTTAACTTTAATGATTGCTATCGGGATGGGAAGAGACTTTCAACCAGCATAACAAAAAAAATAAAATTCTGAAGACAATCACCTATTGCACCTTTAAGGGTGAATATGTAATATTTGCATTTATTACGAGCCTTACTTTTTTGTTATTTTTATTTTGTGTGTGGTGAATAAATGCTTAATAGATGATATACTGCCAGTGAAAAAAAAGTGCCTTGTTATTACATGTAATGTTTATGAATGAACTCGATTACTACTCTTCACTTTTGTACAGAGAAAAAAAAATGCATTTCTACCAAATATATTAACAAACAATGAGAGAAAAGCCTTTTCGTATGATCCCACACAACAAAT